CAGCCACCCCAGAGGCCCCAGCCAGCGCCAAGACCCAGACCCCAGCCGCCGTACTGCTCCTTCTTGTCGGCGTCACCATCGTGCTTGTTGTCAGCTTCCTTGGCGGCGATCGCGGCGGCGGCACCCGCAGGCGGGTCGATCTTCTCACTAGTGCCCATGAGCGTGACACCATCGGGCAACTCGGACGCTTCAAGCTTCTGGAGCGCTTCGGCGGCGGATTTGACGGCCGGCAGATTGCCGGCAGCAGCAGGTTGGGCGGCGGCGGCGACGACACCAACGACGGCAAGAGCGGCAACGAGGAAGGTGCTGAACTTCATGGCTGTGATGCGGTGCGGTTCGGCGCTGAATTCGGAGATCGGGTGGTACTCGACTTGCTCAAGTGGAGGCAGATCGTGTTGTGGGTCCGAAGATGACGGCGAAAAGGCGGGCGCAGTGTTGGAACGAACGAGTCTGCTTCGATCGGGGAGGTTCGTTTGGCAAAGTCGCCGAATTTGCGGGCGAATTCTCGCGGCGATGAAGTAAGTGGTAGTGATTGATGCGCTTCTTGTCGGCGCGCCTCAATCGCTGCCAAACGGCGAATACAGTAGCGCCAACGGCTCCGAAATATGGTTCATACAAAAGCACAATTGTGGCAGTTTATTCGGAAAAAGTAAACCTCAAACCGAGTGGACGTAGGTACTACTGTAGTAGCATGCTGCTAGGCTAGCACAAGCACAACAGGTGAACTTAAATACATGTCTTACTGCCCGGCATTTTAACAAATGCTGAACATTGGTGTGGAAAAGGAAACTGATACCGACAGATTTTTGTTGGATTAGTTAAATTAGTTGGATATCTGGATGGAACATTTCAGGATTTCTAGGAGTCTAGATACTATACCAGACACCGAACAGATACAGAATCCCCAGCCAAACGAACTACAGCCGATCGCCGAAGCCACGCTTCCGATAACATTGCACAATCTGGCTCAAGACGCACAAACTCACGAAAACCCCGCTTCAAAAAGGAGAAAGCATTATATTTTGGTTTTGAATTCTAGGCGAATGCGCCAAGGTACAGCTGATGAACCTTAATTAATTGGTGCAAGACGCCAGAGAGGTAAGAAGGTAGGTAGGTAGGTAGGTAGGTAGGTAGGTAGGTGGGTAGGTGGCTGCGCGGTCGGCCAATTTAGCAGTAGTAGAGACCGCCGAAAGGCATGCCGAGACCGCAGCTGCCGCCGTAGAGACCCGCGCCGAACATGTTCCAGTAGCCCATGGGGTAGGCCCAGCCAGGGACGCCGCCGCACATGAACCCGAAGCGGTAGGGTCCGTAGCCACCCCAGCCACCCCAGTTGCCCCAGCCGCCGCCGAGACCCCAGCCAGCGCCAAGACCCAGACCCCAGCCGCCGTACTGCTCCTTCTTGTCGGCGTCACCATCGTGCTTGTTGTCAGCTTCCTTGGCGGCGATCGCGGCGGCGGCACCCGCAGGCGGGTCGATCTTCTCACTAGTGCCCATGAGCGTGACACCATCGGGCAACTCGGACGCTTCAAGCATCTGGAGCGCTTCGGCGGCGGATTTGACGGCCGGCAGATTGCCGGCAGCAGCAGGTTGGGCGGCGGCGGCGACGACACCAACGACGGCAAGAGCGGCAACGAGGAAGGTGCTGAACTTCATGGCTGTGATGCGGTGCGGTTCGGCGCTGAATTCGGAGATCGGGTGGTACTCGACTTGCTCAAGTGGAGGCAGATCGTGTTGTGGGTCCGAAGATGACGGCGAAAAGGCGGGCGCAGTGTTGGAACGAACGAGTCTGCTTCGATCGGGGAGGTTCGTTTGGCAAAGTCGCCGAATTTGCGGGCGAATTCTCGCGGCGATGAAGTAAGTGGTAGTGATTGATGCGCTTCTTGTCGGCGCGCCTCAATCGCTGCCAAACGGCGAATACAGTAGCGCCAACGGCTCCGAAATATGGTTCATACAAAAGCACAATTGTGGCAGTTTATTCGGAAAAAGTAAACCTAAAACCGAGTGGACGTAGGTACTACTGTAGTAGCATGCTGCTAGGCTAGCACAAGCACAACAGGTGAACTTAAATACATGTCTTACTGCCCGGCATTTTAACAAATGCTGAACATTGGTGTGGAAAAGGAAACTGATACCGACAGATTTTTGTTGGATTAGTTAAATTAGTTGGATATCTGGATGGAACATTTCAGGATTTCTAGGAGTCTAGATACTATACCAGACACCGAACAGATACAGAATCCCCAGCCAAACGAACTACAGCCGATCGCCGAAGCCACGCTTCCGATAACATTGCACAATCTGGCTCAAGACGCACAAACTCACGAAAACCCCGCTTCAAAAAGGAGAAAGCATTATATTTTGGTTTTGAATTTTAGGCGAATGCGCCAAGGTACAGCTGATGAACCTTAATTAATTGGTGCAAGACGCCAGAGAGGTAAGAAGGTAGGTAGGTAGGTAGGTAGGTAGGTAGGTAGGTAGGTAGGTAGGTAGGTAGGTAGGTAGGTGGCTACGCGGTCGGCCAATTTAGCAGTAGTAGAGACCGCCGAAAGGCATGCCGAGACCGCAGCTGCCGCCGTAGAGACCCGCGCCGAACATGTTCCAGTAGCCCATGGGGTAGGCCCAGCCAGGGACGCCGCCGCACATGAACCCGAAGCGGTAGGGTCCGTAGCCACCCCAGCCACCCCAGTTGCCCCAGCCGCCGCCGAGACCCCAGCCAGCGCCAAGACCCAGACCCCAGCCGCCGTACTGCTCCTTCTTGTCGGCGTCACCATCGTGCTTGTTGTCAGCTTCCTTGGCGGCGATCGCGGCGGCGGCACCCGCAGGCGGGTCGATCTTCTCACTAGTGCCCATGAGCGTGACACCATCGGGCAACTCGGACGCTTCAAGCATCTGGAGCGCTTCGGCGGCGGATTTGACGGCCGGCAGATTGCCGGCAGCAGCAGGTTGGGCGGCGGCGGCGACGACACCAACGACGGCAAGAGCGGCAACGAGGAAGGTGCTGAACTTCATGGCTGTGATGCGGTGCGGTTCGGCGCTGAATTCGGAGATCGGGTGGTACTCGACTTGCTCAAGTGGAGGCAGATCGTGTTGTGGGTCCGAAGATGACGGCGAAAAGGCGGGCGCAGTGTTGGAACGAACGAGTCTGCTTCGATCGGGGAGGTTCGTTTGGCAAAGTCGCCGAATTTGCGGGCGAATTCTCGCGGCGATGAAGTAAGTGGTAGTGATTGATGCGCTTCTTGTCGGCGCGCCTCAATCGCTGCCAAACGGCGAATACAGTAGCGCCAACGGCTCCGAAATATGGTTCATACAAAAGCACAATTGTGGCAGTTTATTCGGAAAAAGTAAACCTAAAACCGAGTGGACGTAGGTACTACTGTAGTAGCATGCTGCTAGGCTAGCACAAGCACAACAGGTGAACTTAAATACATGTCTTACTGCCCGGCATTTTAACAAATGCTGAACATTGGTGTGGAAAAGGAAACTGATACCGACAGATTTTTGTTGGATTAGTTGGATTAGTTGGATATCTGGATGGAACATTTCAGGATTTCTAGGAGTCTAGATACTATACCAGACACCGAACAGATACAGAATCCCCAGCCAAACGAACTACAGCCGATCGCCGAAGCCACGCTTCCGATAACATTGCACAATCTGGCTCAAGACGCACAAACTCACGAAAACCCCGCTTCAAAAAGGAGAAAGCATTATATTTTGGTTTTGAATTCTAGGCGAATGCGCCAAGGTACAGCTGATGAACCTTAATTAATTGGTGCAAGACGCCAGAGAGGTAAGAAGGTAGGTAGGTAGGTAGGTAGGTAGGTAGGTGGCTGCGCGGTCGGCCAATTTAGCAGTAGTAGAGACCGCCGAATGGCATGCCGAGACCGCAGCTGCCGCCGTAGAGACCCGCGCCGAACATGTTCCAGTAGCCCATGGGGTAGGCCCAGCCAGGGACGCCGCCGCACATGAACCCGAAGCGGTAGGGTCCGTAGCCACCCCAGCCACCCCAGTTGCCCCAGCCGCCGCCGAGACCCCAGCCAGCGCCAAGACCCAGACCCCAGCCGCCGTACTGCTCCTTCTTGTCGGCGTCACCATCGTGCTTGTTGTCAGCTTCCTTGGCGGCGATCGCGGCGGCGGCACCCGCAGGCGGGTCGATCTTCTCACTAGTGCCCATGAGCGTGACACCATCGGGCAACTCGGACGCTTCAAGCTTCTGGAGCGCTTCGGCGGCGGATTTGACGGCCGGCAGATTGCCGGCAGCAGCAGGTTGGGCGGCGGCGGCGACGACACCAACGACGGCAAGAGCGGCAACGAGGAAGGTGCTGAACTTCATGGCTGTGATGCGGTGCGGTTCGGCGCTGAATTCGGAGATCGGGTGGTACTCGACTTGCTCAAGTGGAGGCAGATCGTGTTGTGGGTCCGAAGATGACGGGCGCAGTGTTGGAACGAACGAGTCTGCTTCGATCGGGGAGGTTCGTTTGGCAAAGTCGCCGAATTTGCGGGCGAATTCTCGCGGCGATGAAGTAAGTGGTAGTGATTGATGCGCTTCTTGTCGGCGCGCCTCAATCGCTGCCAAACGGCGAATACAGTAGCGCCAACGGCTCCGAAATATGGTTCATACAAAAGCACAATTGTGGCAGTTTATTCGGAAAAAGTAAACCTCAAACCGAGTGGACGTAGGTACTACTGTAGTAGCATGCTGCTAGGCTAGCACAAGCACAACAGGTGAACTTAAATACATGTCTTACTGCCCGGCATTTTAACAAATGCTGAACATTGGTGTGGAAAAGGAAACTGATACCGACAGATTTTTGTTGGATTAGTTAGATTAGTTGGATATCTGGATGGAACATTTCAGGATTTCTAGGAGTCTAGATACTATACCAGACACCGAACAGATACAGAATCCCCAGCCAAACGAACTACAGCCGATCGCCGAAGCCACGCTTCCGATAACATTGCACAATCTGGCTCAAGACGCACAAACTCACGAAAACCCCGCTTCAAAAAGGAGAAAGCATTATATTTTGGTTTTGAATTTTAGGCGAATGCGCCAAGGTACAGCTGATGAACCTTAATTAATTGGTGCAAGACGCCAGAGAGGTAAGAAGGTAGGTAGGTAGGTAGGTAGGTAGGTAGGTAGGTAGGTAGGTAGGTAGGTGGCTGCGCGGTCGGCCAATTTAGCAGTAGTAGAGACCGCCGAAAGGCATGCCGAGACCGCAGCTGCCGCCGTAGAGACCCGCGCCGAACATGTTCCAGTAGCCCATGGGGTAGGCCCAGCCAGGGACGCCGCCGCACATGAACCCGAAGCGGTAGG